GTCCAGCTGCTGCTTGAAGACTGCCAGCGGGGGGGGGGGGCTCACCATCTCTCTAGGCAGCAGATTCCACTGTTGCACAACGCTGACTGTAAAAAGAGTAAGGCAGCTTCATGTTTGTTTGTTTGTTTGTTTGTTTCGATTTCTATCCGACCTTGCCGGACAATCGGGCTCAAGGCGGCGCACAATGATAATTTACAATAAAAACAGATAAAATTCAACAATAAAATATAAAGTGCCAGGGCTATTTTTGGGCAGGAACGCACAGGAACGGAGTTCCGGCTGGCTCCCACGTTGGCCACACCCAGCAGGAACTAATTAGCATAATAGGCCACACCCAATGGCAGAAACTCATTAGGATTGGCTACATTAGGGGTGTGTGGCCTAACATGCAAAGGAGTTCCTGCTACAAAAAAAGCTCTGGGTTTTGACAACAAACAAAGTAAATAGAATCAGAAGCAAAAGGTGGGTGTGGCTGGATGACCACACTTCTGGTAACATGGGGTGTGGCCTAATATGCTAATACAATGTGCTATCAGGGTGTGGCCTAACATGCTAATGAGTTTCTGCTGTTGGGTGTGGCCTATTATGCTAATAAGTTCCTGCTGGGCTTTTTCTACAAAAAAAGCCCTGTAAAGTGCAGATTACATACAAACGATAACGTGAAGATGGCGATCATTGTAGTTGGCCCCATATGACTCTCCCAAAGAAAGTGCCAGCAATAGATGTTCAGTAGCTTGTTCAGTGGCGGCTCCTAATCGAAGGCCTGGTGGAACAGCTCATCTGAGTCAAACATGACTTAGTGGTCTTATATGAACTGGCCCCAAACCCACTGGTCCTAGTGGTCGATTGCTTTTTGACAAAAATAAAACATTTTTTTTTATTCTTCTATATCTTCTACAACACGGCTGATTTTTTTAAAAATGTAAGCTGTTGAAAAACAAACAAACAGGCCCCTTTAAAAACAGACACTGGGGCCATCTTGTGGTTACATTTCAGTATGTCTTGTTCAAAATGAAAGTTGAACTCTTCGTTGTCATAAATCAGTGAGGATTAACAGGTTTTGGACAGGGCTGGCCAACTTATGCTTGCCTGGGCGCCACCCTGTTCTCCGGACAGCATTCCAAGGGGCTGCAGATTGGTCACCCTTCATAACAAACTCACACCATGTAGCTTTTACAATCGTGGACTTCAGGAGCTCCAGCATAGATGGAACCTGATATACACAATCGAAAAGGGATTCCATACTGAAGTGTGGAATCTCTCTGTTGCTTTTTCTTGTGAGCGAAACTGTGGATAGGTGTTTTTTTAAAAAACTTTTCCTTCATTAAAATCAGAAAGGGCCACCAGGGTTCATATCGCTTCACATCAGGGGCTGGATCCGACTTAGGAGGTCTCTTTCTGGCTGCCATTTGGCCACCTTGGTGCTCCTGGACTCAAAATAATAATAAAGCCCTACATGACCAGGGTCCGACCTACCTGAGAGACCACCTTTCCCCATATGTACCCCAGAGAGCACTACGGTCAGGGGGCCAACATAGTTTGACTATTCCGGGCCCCAAGGATGCAAGGCTCACCAGTACCAGGACCAGAGCCTTTTCTGTGGCGGCTCCCTACTGATGGAACGAGCTCCCGGAGGAGATCAGGGCCCTGCGGGACCTTTTACAGTTCCGCAGGGCCTGTAAGACGGAGCTCTTCTGCCAGGCCTTTAAACAGGAGCCGCCACTATTGTTACCATCAATGATCCTATTGAACTTCTGGATCCTAGGACTGGCTTAGTTGTATCGCTAGGCCCATCGGCTCGAGGGAGGATGATCGGACGAACAACGTGGATCTAGATCTGGAAAGCACGCCATCTATCCTTTAGTACTGCGAGCACTTTATTGCTAACTGTTAATTTTATGTAATATGAATGAGTATGTGTTTTATGTAATTTTAAAATTTTACGATTATGCCAATTAGGTACATTGTACCGCTTTGTTAGCCGCCCTGAGCCTGTTCGCAGGATGGGCGGGGTATGAATATAATAAATAAATAAATAAAATATCAATAAGGGAGTTAGCCTTGATATTCTGTACGAATCATAGATCTCGTACACACAATGTGGATGCACATCAGGGAGATTTTAAAGCGGGTTTTTGTCAACTGCAGTTATCAGGATACGCATTCAAAGGTATTTTGTTAATTTATTGCTTATATATTGCAACATTCTTCTTCTTTCATCATAGAACTCAAGATGGCATACAGAACGTGGAGGTCCCCCACTCAGGTATCGATCCAGACCCCTATTTGCTTAGCTCTAGCAAGTTTGCGATGTCATAGCCTTGATCAGGATCTTTGAACTTGGTAAGGCTTTTTTTTTTTTGCAATAAATTTTTTATTGAATTTTGAGAAAATACAATATTTTGAAATAACAATACTTGTAAGTGTATAGATACATTTGAGAGCAGTATAACAAGAGTATTAATAATGATTCAAAATTAAACTACGAACTTTGGATAAATACACGTATAGCAAATAAGGTGCATAAACAAATAGGCAATTATTTCATAAGACATTAGAAATCTGTTAGATTCAGATCAATGGTTATCTTTCTCTAAGCCAAATGTTGATGTGTCTCTTACCACAGCTTTAAAATATCAATTTCCCTGGGGGTGTCATTAAATTGCATCAGATATTCTAAGATAGGTAACCAGATGGTGATAAAAGAGGAAGGAGCAGGAATTTTGTCAAAGCGTGCAAGGTTATCCGAGAGTTTCGCCATAATATATAAATCCCACAACTTTTTGTGCCATTGTGAAACAGTGGGTGTCATTGTCGTTTTCCAGTGAGTGGCAATGACCGTTTTGGGAGCAGAGTCATGAACTGTCCAACTGTTAAAAAACAGATGTTCTGGAATAGGCAAAATATCTATATTGTGAAATGTTTTAATTTGTTTCAATACCACCTCCCAAAAAGGCATTATGTTAGGATAAGTCACCCAACAGTGCAAATATGTGCCCTTATTTCTTCATTTCTTCCAGCACCTTGGGTCATATGCTTGAGTCATATGGGCCAGTTTGTTAGGAGTGAGATAAGAACTTGGTGAGGCTTTTAACGTAGTTCTTCATGATACCCTAATTCATGGTATTTGTGTATGTGTGTGGTTTTTTTTTAATGACATCTCCACCCTTAATCCATGGCTTTAAGAAAGCTCAACAATGAGGAACAAATATTTTGTAACAGAAGCAACAGAATCAAAATGGCGCATCCAGCAGTGCCACCTTCACTACATCCCAGGGAAACCACCCTTTTCTGAATTCCTGTTAGCTAGAGCCAGTTTGGTGTAGTGGTTAGGAGCGTGGACTCTAATCTGGGAGAGCCGGGTTTGATTCCCCACTCCTCTACATGCAGCTGCTGGTGGGACCTTGGGTCAGTCATAAATTTTTTCAGAGCTGCTCTCTCACCAGCAGTTCTCTCAGTGCTCTCTCAGCCCCACCTACCTCACAGGGTGTCTGTTGTGGGGAGGGGAAGGGAAAGGAGATTGTAGGCTGCTCGGAGACTCCAAGTGAAGGGCAGGGTATAAATCCAATCTCTTTTCCTCCTATCCTCCTCCTCCTCCTCTTCCTATGCCTACCTAAACCAGCCTGTTTCCAGCACCAGGGGAGATGTACTCAAACAGCTCTCATCAAGCCAGTGATTCCATAGTTTTGGAACTAGAGCAGAAAGGCTCTTCTCTTTTACCCCAGTAAATTCCTTACTTTAAAAAAGAAAGCATGTTGGAGAAAGTGTTTTATGGGTTTGCAGTTGGGTAGGAGATATGAAAGTTAGGATCAAAACAATATAAAGGTTCTGCCAAAAACTTGGGGAAGTCATATTGGCCTGGGGACAAGCGGCAGGGATAGCAGAGCCATTCATCAGGAAGCACCTTTCCTGAAACGTCAGCTTTAAGAGAATGAAGTCTTTGGCCCTTTACATTCAGAAATATAAAGTGGAAATGGGCAGACTGTATTCTAGGGTTGCCAGCTCCAGGTTGTGAAATACCTGGAGATTTTGGGGGTGGAGCCTGAGGAGGGCAGGATTTGGGGAGGGGAGGGACTTCAGTGGGGTTTAATGCCATAGACTCCACCTTCAGAAACAGCCATCTTCTCCAGGTGAGCTGTTCTCTGTTACCTGGAGATCAATTGTAATCCCAGAAGATCTCCAGCCACCACTTGGAGGTTGGCAAACCTACTGTATTCAATCCCATTGTTCAGGAACTCAGCCTTCTCCTGCCTTTTACTGTTCTGGCCAATGAGGGGCGGAGGAGGAGGAGGAGAAGAAGAGGAGGAGGAGGAGAAGAAGGAGAAGGAGAAGGAGAAGAAGGAGAAGAAGGAGAAGAATAGGAGGAGGAGGAGGAGATTGAATTTATACCGTGCCCTTCACTCGGAGACTCAGAGCGGCTTACAAACTCCTTTCCCTTTCTCTCCCCACAACACCCGGTGAGGTAGGTGGGGCTGAGGGAGCTCTTTCAAGAACTGCTCTTTTCAAGAACACCTCTGACAGAACTAAGGCTTGCCCAAGGTCATTCAGCAGGTGCAAGTGGAGGAGTGGGGAATCAAACCCGGTTCTCCCAGATTAGAGTCCGCGCACTTAACCACTACACCACACTGGCTCCCTAATGAGTAGTATGAAGTTCTTGTGATGCACCTGACACATAACTGGAAGAACATTTCAAAGTTCTGTTAGATTATCTCATGTTTCAAAACTTATTAGACCCCTAGTATTTAGGGTACGGCTGGTTCACAGTGACTTATCATCCCCCCCCCCCAATCCTAGGCTTCCCCCTCACAAAATTACTAGCTACAGGCCTGGTAGAGACATGAACTACCAAGGCAATGACAAAGCATCCAGACATATAATTATAAGAAATGTTAATTACAGCAAAGAACCTGTCATTAAGAAATAGCAGGAGACGGGGGGGGGGGAGAGAATTATATTGATTCTTTGTCTCTAACGAAGAAATCAGGTTTATACCAATGCTCTCAGATATAGCTTTGCAGCCAAAGAGTGTTCCTTGGAAACACTTTATTCTCCCACCTGAACCGGAGATCTTCGGCAAGATCGCTTCTGCCAATTTTACAGAGATACCGAGTCAGGAGCTGGGGCTTGTCGGCCGATCTCCGCAGGTTTCTGTTCCAGAAGCACAGGACCTCGTAGATCTGCTCTGTGCGATTATCAGGGCACTTCAGTTTAATAAACTGAAGAGTGCTTCGGTGGAGAGGAAGGAAGAGCACGAGGGACGAGGCGTTATCTTCCGACAGCTCTCCTGACAGCCAGTGCAGTAAGCTGTCCCACAATGCCTCTGTTAGTCAAAATATTAACTCATAAAGATACTGATCTCTCTCTCTCTCTCTCTCTCTCTCTCTTTTTAAAAAATGACAAACCACATTTAAAAGGATTGAAAAAATAGTCCGTATTTATATAAAAAAACCCTCAAAGCGACTGAGGCCTACTACACAAGAAGGCAAACGAAGTGTTAGAAAGGACAGTACCGGTTCATAGTACTTGAAGGAATTGCAGTTAAATTAAAAAAAAAAAAAAGGAAGGAATTGCAGTTTTAAATGCTTCTGAAACTTAGGAAAAAACCCTCTGAAAATGGAAAATGAGCACAACATTGAGCAGGCTGGACGAGAAACATCTTTATCAGAACAAAGGGCTGACCACCCTGCAGATAAAAATACATGCAAAATGAAAATCCTGCATGTTTGCCCAAGAATTTTAAGAGAAGAAAGTCCCTCCCTTCCCCTCCCCACAGCAGATACCTTGTGAGGTAGGTGGGGCTGAGAGAGCTCTTTCGAGGAATGCTCTTGAGAGAACAGCTCTGAAAGAACTTGTGACTGACCTGAGGTCACACCAGCAGCTGCATATGGAGGAGCTGACTCAAACCTGGTTCTCCCAGATTGGAGTTTGCGCTCCTAACCACTACACCAAACTGGCTCTTCCCAAAAGGGAAGAGTTTAAAAATAAAAGCGACGACACAGCTGCCTGCATTGCCAAAGGGAAAAGAGCCCAGAGTCCAGATGGCTTCTTGAATGGCGATAGTAACCTGAAATGGTGCCCAGCATGGTAGCAGAAGCCACCACAATGAGGACATGGCCGAGGAGATGTAGGACTTTTGTGCATTCTCATTCTCTTGTGTGTTCCTGTTTGCTTTGTGGGTATTTTCCTTTTCTGCACGTGATTATCTCCCTCTTGTGCTTGACTCAATATTACACTGCTTTATGTCCAACATAAAAACCTGCAGTTTAAATCTGCAGGGAGATATGCTGGACATAACGTGGTGTAATATCAGATCAACCAGTAGAGGGAGCAATACACATGAGGAACAGGAATCCCCCCCCCCAAGCAACAGGAACACACAAATGAGGAGAATGAGGATGCAGAAAAGCCCTTAGCAGAGGAAGTGGAACCAGAGCCAGCAGAAAGCAGCCACAGAAAAGAAGGAGGGGCAAGAAAAGGCAGCTAGTACGGGGAATAATGAAGGTGGAACCCAGGCCAAGGACAGGAGGGAGAGGAGATGGGGGTTTTTTTGTTGAAGGGATGCAAAACGAAGCAAGAGGATGCAGCAAGTGGGGATGAAGGGCAGGAAATGCAGCTTCTCCCCCTGTGAGTCCTTGTGGCTCCCTGGGTTGCCAGCTCTGGATTGGGGAATCCCTGGAGATTTTGGGGGTTGGAGCCTGTGGAGTAGGGCTGCCATCTCTGGGTTGGGAATTACATGGAGATTTTGGGGATTGGAGCCTGAGAGGGGCAAGGTTTGGGGGAAGGGGTGGACCTCAACAGGGTAGGGTGCCAAAGAGTCCACCTTCCAAAGTGGCCGGTTTCTCCAGGCGAACTGACCTCTGTCACCTAGAGGTCAGCTGCGATCCCAAGAGATCTCCAGACACCACCTGGAAGTTGGCGACCCTACTAGGGAGAATGGGGTTCCCAGAGTAGAGGGAGCTCAGCGGGGACGTGATGCCATGGAGTCCACCCTTCAGAACGGCCATTTCCTCTGTAGTCTGGAGACCTGGGAAGACTCTAGACCCAATCAGGAGGCTGGCAGAACTGGTGGGTCCCCCTCCGATTCTACCTATTATGCCAGTGCTTTCTTACCGGGAGGGGGGCATTCAAAAGGGGCATGATCCACATGCAGCCTGAAGTGCTGTCGTCCATTCTGCCACATCAGGATCCCTCTACCTCAGTTGAGTGCATGTGTAGACCGGGCTCGAATCTCCACCATCTCTTGAAGGACCAAGAGTGCAGAGATCAGCGAAAAGCACCTGGGTAGAGGGCAACTACAGAGAAATGAAGTGGGTGGGGGGAAATTAGCATCCCCCAAGCCTCCATTCTTATTCCTGATGCCACTGTGAAGCAAAGCGACAGCCGGGGTTTGCACATACAAGTCGTCTAGGTTAAAAGTTCGTTCTGGCCTGACCAGGGCTATTTTGGGGCAGGAACGGAGTTCTGGCTGGCTCCCGAGTTGGCCACGCCCAGTAGGAACTCATTAGTATAATAGGCCACACCCAACAGCAGAAACTCATTAGGATTGGCTACATTAGGGGTGTGTGGCCTAACATGCAAAGGAGTTCCTGCTACAAAAAAAGCCCTGGTTGACAACAAACAAGGTAAACAATAAGAAGCAAAAGGTGGGTGTGGCTGAATGACCACACTTCTGGTAACATGGGGGTGCAGCCTAATATGCTAATGAGTGGTGCTGTCAGGGGTGTGGCCTAATATGCTAATATGTTTCTGCTGTTGGGTGTGGCCTATTATGCTAATGAGTTCCTGCTGGGCTTTCTCTACAAAAAAAGCCCTGGTCCTGACACTGCAACACTGAGAAGAAGAAGAAGAAGAAGAAGAGACTGGATTTATACCCCGCCCTTCACTTGGAGTCTCAGAGCGGCTTACAAACTCATTTCCCTTCCCCTCCCCACAACAGACACCCTGTGAGGTGGGTGGGCCTGAGAGAACTCTGACACAAACGGCTCTTTCAGAAACAGCTGTGCCAGAGCTTGTGACTGACCCAAGGTCACATCAGCAGGTGCAAGTGGAGGAGTGGGGAATCAAATCCGGTTCTCCCAGATTAGAGTCCGCACACTTAGCCACTACACCAAACTGCCTCACTGCAATCCTAAACACACTTACCGGGAGTTAAATCCCACTGGACTCAATAGGTAGGACTGCCAGATTCCAGGTGGCACCTGGAGATCCTTCGCGATTACAACTGACCTCCAGATGACCAAGATCCGCTCCCCTGGAGAAGATGGCTGCTTTGGAGTGTGGGCTCTGCTGGGGCCCCTCCCCTCCCCAAGCCCCGGCCTCCCGAGGCTCCACCCCCCAAAGTCTCCAGGTATTTCCCAACCCAGAGCTGGCAAACCAATCAATAGAAGAAGAAGAGATTGGATTTATACCCCGCCCTTCACTGCCCAAAGCTGTCTCAGAGCGGCTTACAAACTCCTTTCCCTTCCTCTCCCCACAACAGACACCCTGTGAGGTGGGTGGGGCTGAGAGAGCTCTTGACAGAAACTGCTCTTTTTCAAGGACAGCTCTTATCAGAACTATGGCTTGCCCAAGGTCATCCAGCCAGGTGCAAGTGGAGGAGTGGGGAATCAAACCCGGTTCTCCCAAATTAGAGTCCGCGCCCTTAACCACTACACCAAACTGGCTCTCTTCTCTAGGACTTGCTTCTGGGTAAACATACACCCTCCCCCCCACAACAAAACAAAATGAAAGACTTCTTACCGGATGAATCCCTTGAGATTCTTTTTGTGCTTTGTGGGCGGCTGATGATCTTATCTTTCTATACAAGAAAATAAATTCAGTATTTACCACTGAGGGAGAGAGAAATTAAATAAAACCACATCCAGGGTGGCGCTTGTCGATAGGGTTGCCAGGTCCCCTGGTCAATCTGGCGGGGGGATATGGGGGGTGTTCTTGAGGTGGGTGGGGATGGCCCCAAACCCCGTCCCCAGGTTACTGCCACAGGCAGTGGTGCAGGCCTGAATCCCAAATGTTCAGCTGATTGGTGGAGAGCACATGGCCTGCCGAAGCCCTTTCAATCTTTTAGCAGGGAAGAGAGGGGTGGCTGCAGGTGGGCGTGGCTTGGGGGCAATGTTCCCTCTAAGCTGAGTTAGTGTGAGCTAGCTCACAGTTTTTTAGAAGAAGAAGAAGAGATTGGATTTATACCCCGCCCTTCACTACCCAAAGGAGTCTCAGAGCGTCTTACAAACTCCTTTCCCTTCCCCTCCCCACAACAGACACCCTGTGAGGTAGGTGGGGCTGAAAGAGTTCTTGACAGAAACTGCTCTTTTTTCAAGAACAGCTCTTATCGGAACTTCGGCTTGCCCAAGGTCATCCAGCCAGGGGCAAGTGGAGGAGTGGGGAATCAAACAAGGTTCTCCCAGATTAGAGTCCGCGCACTAAACCACGACACCAGACTGCCTCCAGCTCATTTTTGTCTTAGCTCAGGAAGGATGGCTCCAGAGCAAACTAATTTATGCAATATCTAAATCGCTCATTCACAACTTTAATCCTAGTAGCTCACTGAGTAGAATTTTTGCTCACAAGACTTCACAGCTTAGAGGGAGCATTGGTCATGGGCGATGATGACCGTGAGTTGGTAGCACAGCCAGAGGCACCAGCACTGCCAGAGCCAGAAGCTAGCCCTGCTGACTACTTAGAAGTTGACAGCGTGCTGCTGCCAGTGCCCAAGCCTGTAACTCCTGCACCTGGTCCTGCAGCAGCCGATGAGATACAGGTGCCACTGGGAAGCCCACCTGACTCACCTCCATGGGTCGTTTGGCTGAGGAAGTGGCTTCACCAGGACTTATCCACCCAGATACACGCTGGTAGGGAAGGCGAGCGCCAAGTCCTGAGTACTAGCAGGAGTGGCACCACCACCAAAGGAAGCATGGCCAGAGGCCTACATAGCTCCCACTCAGGGGTCATTTCCTGTGGGAGCGCACAGGAGCGGAGCTCTGGCAGTAAGGAGCCCAGGGGGCAGGCATATGCAACAAGCCCCGCCCCCTGCTCCCAGCAGCCCGAAGTCAGGCCACGAGGAGCAAAAAGCAGCCAGATAAGTTGCAGAGGCCCACCCCCGGTCTGCCTTCAGGTACAAGCTCTCCCTCCTCTGTGAGGGGAGATCTGTGCATTCCCCCCGCCATAGTTAGCAATCCAAAACAGTCCAGTGGCACCTTTAAGACCAAGTTTTATTCAGGTACAAGCTCTCCCTCCTCTGTGAGGGCAGATCTGCACATTCCCCCCCCCCCAATATCTGGCAATCCAAAACAGTCCAGTGGAGCCTGAGCAGTGGGTGTTGCCTTCTGACACACTTCCGGTGATGTCAGGGGGTGTGGCATATGCAAATGAGTTATGCTAATGAGTTATGCTAATGAGCTCCTGCACCTCTTTTTCTACGAAATGACCCCTGCTCCCACTCAGGATTGGGCTCTCCATGGAAGCAACGAGTCACCTCCGTGCGGACCTCGCATCCACTTCGACTCCTGTTCTCAGACCCCACTCGTGTTCAGATTCCTGGCTTCCTGACCCCCGCTTCGGATGACCACTCTCTCAGACTTGAGATTCAGCTCTCACTGTCCTGTCAATGACCTTGGACCGGACATGACTCCCGTCTCTCGGCCCAGCTCAGCCTGTGACAGTAGAATTGCCAGGAGATCCTAAGACTGTCTGACAGCCAGAGGTTCTAGCCCTTTTAACATTCGGCACCACTAGGTGGCAAGCTAGACTTTTTTAAAGGGCAAGAGATGTTTCAGAGGTGGTTTGCCAATGCCTGCCTCTGTGTCACACCCCTGGTATTCCTTGGAGGTCAGCCTTCGAAATGCTAGCCAAGGCCGACCCTGCTTAGCTTCTGAGATCAGGTCAGGGCTGTTGCAAAGAAAGGAGTCAGGATGCAAATGAACAATCTGGGAATCTTCCAGAATCTTCCACTAAGCAGGCTTGCTGTCTCCCTTCTCCCTGTGCTGGATTTGATTTTTAGAAGATGGATTTTTCTTCAAATCTGTATCTAAGGGCGTGATCATATGCACAATTAGACCCACCATAGGCGTGAATGCCAGGCGGATTTAAAGGGCGTGATCAGACACGAATATCTGGGAAGTGCCCCGCACCTGTTGGCAACCTGTTCTGCTCCACTGCAGAGGCAGATTAAAAAGACACTGGGGAAACTGGGGTTGCGACGGGCCACGGATGGACTTTCCCGTGTCTGATCACTCCAGTGTGCTCTCATGGCGTTAAGATGGTCTGATCAGGCTCTGTGTCATTGTTTTTCCCCCCCTCCGCAGTGTACACATCATCACAAACTCCATAGGGAGCCATCAGTGTAGAGATGCGATTCAGCGATTCCTCGTTTAAGCGCATTGGAAACAAACAGCAAACAAACAAACAAACCCCGACTTACCTGCAGTTGCATCTGATCACGCAGTGCCGGGCTGTGCCCGGCGCTTCCAAGGACTGTGTGATCGCACAACTGCGGATCAAATTTCTCTGGAGGAAATGGCCTTGCTCCCCCCCCCGCTTTATCTTGCGCGTGTGACCACCCCCTAAAGCTAGCAATTTTTTGGGTGCAACTGCTATGATTTCCTCAGCAAGATGAAGAACTGCAAATAGTTGAAGCCAACTGTAGTCATTAGGACTAGTTCTAATACAGCTTTAGCACCTGGATCATTCAGAATACTATTTTGGCTCCAGTGTGTTACTGCTACTCCTTGGACATTCAAAGGGTCATTCTGTGGCAGAGGGACCACATGCAGAGGTGAGCTAGAAGGAACCTTCCTAAAACCTCTACAGGTCTCAAAGCTTTCTCAAAATGCAGCCTGCAGAGGCCCTATGTGGCCAGAGAGCAAACGAGAAGCCAGAATATCCTTCATTCTGGAAAACCAATATCAGCAACAATAACAGAGTCCTCGTTTCCCTGTATGATCTGAATGGGGGGGGGGGAATAAGAAGGCTACATTTCAATCACCAGGGGACACTGTAAAGCCAGGCTCTGAGATAAATGCCCTTTTAAGCGTCCTGCTGACTCTCTGTTGGAGAACGGCACAATCAGTAAGTCTGTTTCATGGCCTGAGAGCTCAGTTCATCTGCATCTGCAGATCGAGGCTGGCAGTTCCTGGGAACTCTTTAAGCTTATGATCAAATCCAGGAATTTGATAAGGAGGAAGGGGTGGTGGCAGCAGTGACTACCCATAGGAATATAATATGCAGGGTGTCATTATGCCTTGAATAATAGCCAGTTGGTAGTGTAGTTGCTAGGAACACCGAACCCCCTTTGGTTTAATTGCATACCCAACAAACATATCGTATTACAGACTGATCTGTATGTGCTCTGATCAGTTTAGCTACTTCAGAGTAGGATTGGGTGTAACTCTTGCTCCCTAGGAGGCGTACTGAGATATATGTCAGAGTGATAGAGGTAGCAAGCAGTTACTATAGATCAGTTTGATCTGTTTGTCAGACCTAGCTGTCATGCCATGTAATTACAGCCAGGTGTTTTCTAGCAGGTGTTGCTCTTTCAGGGCTTGTTAGAGCTAGTGATTACATCACCTTGTTAGAGATTGGCTGGGGTTTAGCATAATAGCTATCAGCTTAGTAAACTGGATGGGGGACTTAGTTCTCATAGACTAAGGCATGACATGCTGTACAATAGCCTGTAAATATCTTTGTATATATTCACCTTTATAACTATATAAACTCTCTGTGCACCTTCATAACTGGTCAGTCTCCCGCTTCTTATTTACAACACCCAATAGGTCAAGCACTAATTTCTGAAACGCACCTTTGGCAAGGTAAGAGCCAATTTGCAAACAGGATCCTGGTGTTGGTAGTCTTGGGGCAGAAGCGGTTGCACCACGTTCTTGGCTATGACTTCTTTGCTCACTTTATAACACAAGGCAGTTCCCTTGAAATGAGGTGAGCTGTAGTTACCGTATTCATCCACTTCCTTGATTTGAAGGGCGAGCCTCGGCTTCCTTTGTGCATGGAAAGAAAGCGTGTAGGTTTTTCCAGTTGTCACCCCATCGTCTATACAGCATGGAAAGCAGAAAGTAACATGATGGCCACGGTTATCGCTACGGAGCAACCTTCTAAATTTTTTCGTGCATTATTTATTTCTTAACTTCCATTGCAACTTCATGCCTGAGATGGTGAGCAGAAATAAAACAATAGCTCACATGTGTGGGGGCCATTTAGAGAAAATCACTAACTGAGAAACCTGAAATCATACTGCATTCCTGACTTTGAAGAACACCGTTCCGATAGCATTACTGGGGAGAATCAAACGAAAGCTGAACAAATCTAGTTTATCTCAACACAAGCACTGATTGACTTGTATCCTTGTTGTTGCTGTCGTTAATAATATTATTAATATGATTAGGAACAATATCCTTCTCATCATCATGCATTTATGCGAGCACTTCATATACATTGCCTCGTATACATTATCTCAGTGGTCAGTATTTCAAAGGTGAGTGTGTATGTACATATATCATCATCATCTTATATTCTAATAGTGGAGTGTGGTCCCCATCTGTGAATCAGGGACACAGAGAAGGCAAACAGGCCCAGCAGCAGAAGCTTGGAGCTGCGCTGGGCTTGCTGGTGTCAGGGTCTTTAGGCAGGTCACACCACACAGGGCTTCAGAAGAAGATAACTGATTTATTAGTGATTCCAGTACTAAAGAACACGTATACAGCTTGTGTCAGGAATGGCCATCAGTGGCTTCCGGTCTAGCTAAGATGGAGGACTGAAGCGTTTCGCAATCGTGCGAAGCGAGCGACGGCCACTTTTGACAGTTTGGGCAATATACAGCCCAACGCATCACTCCCCAGCGAGGGGGGGGGACAAGCAGGCAGCAGCGCCCTAGAGGGAGTGTGAGGTTGGCGTAATCCAGCTTCGGAAGAAGCTGAATTGGGCTTTGACCTCCTCCCACGAAGAAGGCAAGTGCCAAGCAACTCTATAGTGGCCGATCGAGCCGGATTACCGGCATAAATTCTTCGTCAGCAGACTTCTTTGAAGAGGGACAACAACTGTGAGTTAAAAGAAACAATGCGAAACCCGTTTTGAACGTGCTAGATAACAAAAACGTGCCGCTTACCTGAACTGAGTTTGGAGTCAATTTGAATTAAGCGGTTGAGCGGAAAATGAATAGTAAATCCCAGAAATCCGATTCCGGAGAGAAAAAAGTTGATTGAAGCCTTTAAAAACTGTAAAAACGCTTATTGTTTAACATTCCTGTGGTGAAGATGGAGCCGTGTGCGCAACTGTAAAATCGAAACTCACGAACAATAGCGTGGGAAGAGCAGGCTGGTGTCACAAAGAAAGAGGTCCGTGTGAAACATCCAGGAAGTTGAATTCCTAGACGGGCATTAGCGAAAGGAAGACAGTGGAACTTTTAAAGGTGCCGGACCGGAAGTGAGTTGTATGCGGAAGGAAGGGCCTGCAAAGTATCAATTTGACCTACTCTACATGAAATTACCATAGAGAAGTTGCGCCCGACATTTTGAGGAGGACTTCAACTAAATTTGCTTTTTTAATATATTTCTAAGGGTCTTTGGAAAGCGTAAACAGAGAGGCATGGAGGACTAAATCTTATCATCTAGAAGAGTGCTTTATTTTGCGAATCTGTGAATTGGAAAGAAATCGCCAAGACGGAGACCAGGAGAGGCAAGAAAAGAGCCGACTCAGACCCAGAACTTAAACCGGTTGTGAGACCTAGGATTGGATCTACTTCAACCCCCAAAATGTCAAGAGAAAGAGAGAAAAAAGAGATGCAAGCCTCCATGGAAGCAATGGAGAAGAGAATGACAGAGGCAATACAAGCCATGGGGGAGCAGATAGAAAAAACATTGGGGGACCAACTGGAGAAGCAAACTCAGATTCATCTGAAACATCTAGAAGAAGTCCAAGAGAAGAACATAACAGCATTGAAGGAACTGGTTACTACAGAAATAACTTCAATCAAGCAAGAAATGGAAGGAGTTAAGAAGGATGTTCAAGCAAATGCAACCAAGACTACAGAGACAGAGGAGAAGATACAAAAAATAGAAGAGAAACAAGATTCTTTGACTCAACAAATTACAAGATCAGAGACAATGATGGAGTTCAGAAGGATGCAGACTCATCTGAGATTCAGAGGCATTAAGGAAACAGAGAATGAGAATTTAAAAGAAAAAATGATGGAAGTGATAACGGCTTTTTTGGGCGAGGAAGAAGGGTCAATGGACTCAGACTTTGATTTGATTTATAGAGTGAACTCCAGAATTGCAGAAAAGAAGAATTTACCAAGGGATGTAATTGTACAATTTGTAACAAGATCAACAACAGAGGAGATATTCAAGAAGCAATTCACCGTCCCTTTTGAAATAGAGGGAAACAAAATTATGGTGATGAGAGAACTCCCAAGAACAATACTGCAAGACAGGAAAAGGTATAAATCCTTGGCGGACAAACTCAGAGCTTTGAGCATCAGATATAGATGGGAGATTCCACAAGGTTTATCCTTTACGTATCAAGGTGGGAGGATTCAGATCAGATCGATGATGGACTTTTATAAATTTAAGGCGGACAATGCGGACGTCTTTGGAGAACTTTAAAATAAAACGCATAATGGAGTACAAATTGTTGTCATGGAATGTTAATGGATTAAATTCACCAAACAAGAGGAAAAGAATCAATCATTGGATACAGAAACAGAAATGCAACGTGATATGCTTGCAAGAAACACATATTAGAAAACAGGATATAAAATATTTAAAGAATGCTTTATTTGGAATTGAATTTTGTTCTGCGGCCTCAAACAAGAAAAAAGGAGTTGTGACATATGTGAAGAAGGAGTTACAACCTACAGAAATTTTTAAGGACATAGATGGCAGATACGTGGGTGTGGAATTAATGATTCAGCAGAAAAAAACATTGTTGATCAACGTGTACGCACCCAATGGAGCAAAGGAAAAATTTTTTAAGGATATAACTGACCAATTACAACAATTGACTTATGAGCAAGTTATTATGGCCGGAGACTTTAATGGGACAATAGATCGTGTAGACAGAAAACCACAAAAGGACAACGAATTCAGCGGAAAACTGCCAAAGAATTTTTTTGAATTAGTTAAGCAAGAAAAATTAGAAGATGTTTGGAGGAAATGGAACCCGATGCAGAAAGACTTTACTTTTTATTCCAATAGACATTGCTCTTTTTCCAGAATTGATATGATTTGGATGTCTGAAGAATTATCAATGAAAACACATAAGACTGAAATTTTGCCAAGATGTAATTCAGATCACAATCCGGTGGTATGGAGTTCCACAGAAAGGAAAAAACCCTTTCTGTGGAGGATTAATGAAGACTTGTTGGATAAGAAAACAGTAATTGAGATGTTAAAGGAAGAAACGAAACAATTCTTTCAACAAAATTTAAATAAAGAAACACCGATACAGATTGTATGGGATGCTTATAAAGCGGTGATGAGAGGAATTCTCATCTCGCAAAACGTGAAGCAAAAAAAGGAAAAACTTCAAAAACAAACAGAAGTGTTAGAAAAAATTGCTCAGAAAGAAAAGGAATTAAAAAAGAAGCCTGGAAAAAAGCAAATTATTAAAGAATTAAAGTTGCTGAAGGAACAACTGAATGAGACTTGGAATCAGGAAATGTATTGGAATTTAAAGAAGTTACAACAGAAATCTTTTGAAGGGGCGAACAAACCGGGAAAATACTTAGCTTGGCAACTTAAGGCTAGAAGAGAGAGAAGAATGATAACCAAAATAATAGAAGATGGAAAAGAGTTCGTTGATCCTAATGGAATAAAGAGATGTTTCTTCAAGTATTATGCTAAACTATTCCAAACAACTAGAGTTGATCTTGAGAAGATTAAAACATATTTAAAGGAGATTCCACTACCAAAAATAAGTAAGGAATACAAAGATTTATTAAATGGTCCAATTCAAAAAGAAGAAGTGATGAAGGCAATAGAAGAGACAAAGTTGGGGAAGGCGCCTGGGCCGGACGGATTTACAGCGAAATTCTACAAAAAGATGAAAGAAGAAATTTCCCCGGTCCTGGAAGCTTTAACCAACGAAATAAGAGAAAACAAAAAGGTGCCGGACTCATGGAAAGAAGCAATTATTTCTTTGATTCCAAAGGAAGGACAAGATTCAACAAATGTAAAGAACTACAGGCCAATATCTCTTTTGAACAACGATTATAAAATCTTTGCAAAAATTATTGCAGAAAGGGTGAAAAACTATTTACAAACGGTAATTTCTGAAGATCAAGCGGGCTTTTTACCCAAAAGGCAGATTAGAGACAATGTAAGAATAGTAATGGACGCAATTGAATATTATGAAAAGCACCCAGAAAAAGAAGTAGCTTTTCTGTTTGTTGATGCAGAAAAAGCTTTTGACAATCTTAATTGGAATTTTATGCACCAGATGATGGAAAAGATTGAAGCGGGACAACATTTTAGAAATTGTATTGAAGCTATCTATTCTGAACAAAGAGCTAAAATAAATGTGAATAAAGAACTGACAGATAACTTCAAAGTACAGAAAGGAACAAGGCAAGGTTGTCCGTTATCACCGTTATTATTTATCTGGGTATTGGAAATACTTTTACAAAAAATACAGTACGATCAAGAAATAAAGGGCTTGACACATAAAGGACACCAATACAAATATCGAGCATTTGCAGACGATGTAATGTTTATGGTGGAAAACCCAACAGAAAAATTGACATTGCTTTTTCAAAAAATAAAGGAGTTTGGAGAATTGGCCGGCTTTTACGTAAATAAGAATAAAACAAAACTTATATGTAAAAACATGATCAAACAAAAACAAGTGGAACTACAAGAACTGGTACAATGTGAAGTAGTTAAAAAAACAAAATACCTTGGAATTGAATTAACGGCAAAAAATATAGACCTATATAAGAATAATTATGAGAAATTATGGACTAAGCTGACTCAAGATTTTAAGAAATGGGATAAAATGAACTTATCACTGATGGGAAGAATATCAGTTATAAAAAT